TGGTTGCCTTCGAAACAATAATACGATCCCAGAGATCTTAGCGTAGAAAAATAGTCCCCAGTCTTTCTTTCAATGGTTCTATTACACATGCAAGGAACTATCCAGCAGATCCTTTTGCTAAATGTGTTTTTAGATTAGTGTTATCACTTTTAGTCTTTGCGAGTACTTTGGCATAGTACCAAAGTAATTGTCTCATTTTATAGCCAAAGCAAATTTAGGAATTTTTTCTGCGAATTTATGATCCAGTTTTGAGTTAGCCTTGACCACTGAATAAAAGCACAGTAGACGCATGTTAACAGGGTTAGCCTCAATCTGAAGTAAATAGAAGACCTGTTCACAGCCCTGTATATTGTTTATTTTAAAATTTCTGGCACCCTTCTGCCGGTATAGTGAATATTTTCAGTATATGCCAAGGCTAGCCCTTTAAGAATGCGTCACTGGTGTTTACATTCAGCGAAAGTCGAAAGGGGACTACCGTAAACGGCCACTTAGAAGCCCTTCCCTAGTCGTTGGCCCACTTATTTGTAAACAAAACAAAAAAATCCCGATTAAAAGCCCCCCCCTTCCCCCCCAATATATGCCCCCCTCTGGCTTGAATTGAAATGAATTCAATTCTTTACGAACGTTTAATATGACCAGTAAATTCAAAACTTGTTTTGTTCAGCACTGCCATTGGAGAGGTTTAGATTGTGAGACGAGGAAGACTACGAGTACGAGATTTTCTCAATACTGAGTACTGCTCACGAATAACCAGCGTCATTTCGGCGGGAAAACGTGATAGCCGTCGATTTTTGGCGATTATGTCGTAGCGGCGGGACGGGACGAAAAAACGGATTTACCGAACGTCAAAGGTGAAGTCAAACGGGCGATAAAGGCCACCTTTGCACACCTTTGTACAACTTTGACGCGCGACAAATGTTTACCTTTGCTCGCGGTCAAAGGCGAGTCTTCAGGCGATAAAGGCCGTTTTTGTCACGCCTTTAACCCCTACCTTTGACGCGCGTCAAAGGTATATTTCATTAGCATTAGTACCCCTATCAAAGGCGTCGTCAAATATGTCTGAGATTCAGGCCAAAGGTGTGACAAAAGCGCGGTGAAGTTATGTCTGTGATTAAAGTCAAAGGCTTGTGAAAAGTGTCGTCAAATGCGTCTGAGCCTCAGGTCAAATGTGTGACAAAGTTGTCGTCAAATGCGTCTGAGATTTAAGTCAAAGGTTTAATAAGGGTGTTGCCAAATATGTTTGGTTTTTTTCCTCCCCTCGCATCGCGCCTCTCGCTCGTCTCGCGCTTCGCGTGAATTCCGCGTTCGCCTCCCGCTTCGCGCGAATGCCGCGTTATTGCCTTGCTAGTCATAAGCGCTTGATATGCAGGCTAGAATCCAACTTGAGATTTCAATCAAATTCAATTGCGACCTGGATACCGTTTAAAAAGGTGGACAGATAAGAGACTGAGTTCTTAATCTTGTACTTTATTGTCCTAAAACCTCATTAGATGATAAGAAAGCTGAATAATTCCGATTAAAACTTAAACGCATAAAAATGATTTTTTAAAACCTTTTCACGATTTATTGTCTAAAGTACTCATTACAGTCTGTCAATGGACAATCATAATGACTGCCGCAAATTTTTGAAGCACTATAAATGTTCCAGATACACGCTGTTGTCACGGACGGCAACCTGCAAAATAGTTTAAAACACTTCTTTCACGCAAGCCAGTGCAAAAATCATGGTAAGTAAGAAATGTTCTTGATCAGGAGCCCATCTGTCTTGATGTTTTCTTTGCGAAGATTTTCATTCTAGAGTGCTTTTGATTCTTGATGTAAGTGAAAGACAAACGCCATGTATCTAACTTCAATCTTCCTCTGTTGTGTGTTTCGTTCCACTGGAGACTTATCACTTTGCCTTGTTTCTTTTATCTGTGAAATAATTGTAAAAGAATATAGCAATTTGAGATAAAAAATTCAGTCGTAGTGTTTCAAATAAATTTTTCGGTTCCACTCCCTTTTTACTATCGCTCCTTTCCTGCAGAAAATTCCCCTTTCTCTTTACCTTTATCAAAACTTAAAGACCCGGTTAAAAATGTGTAGCGAACCTAATGCTTTTGAATGGGAACATTACATTTCGTGTACATGCATTGTCATTAAGTCCGTCATTTGTGAAATTTGACGTTTGAATCGAGCCTTATTATAACTTAATTAAGTCCAGGAAAATTCAATGAAAATTTCTCTCCATGCCCAAAGCTTAAAATTAAACTAAAGAAACACTTTATATTATACCTAGCCTGCATAACAAGCGTTTCCAATAGAGTTATTGCGCGAGTTAGCCCCTCCCGGCCCCTCCTTCCTCATTTTTTACCCTCTACAAACTTAGTCTCTTGCAGAAAACTCGCGCGGAAAAGCTTGCTACGCAGGCTATTTTTAAAGTTATTGTCCAGTCACAATAAAGAAGGGACAGCTCGGTATGTTTGAATGATTATTATTAAATGTTGAAACATACCTAACTGCCACTGTGATGGCACAAAAATCAATGGAATATTTTAAAAATTATGCAGCCTGAGCCCCATTACGTATAGAACCCACAAAAATCAATAGAAAGAGATACTCACGTCTGAAAAACATCCGAAGTCTTCAAATAACCACACTTCTTTGTTTGATAAACTGCACTGAATCCTGTTCAAATAAGCTTATGTACTTTCTTCAGTAATATGCCCATCAAAGTCTGGTACAGATATTTTTATTGAAGTACACTGTCCATGAAAAAATATATGTAAGTCTTATATTATTTCATTACCTTGAAGTAGTTTTCGTAGTTAAGTATAACTGTTAGAAAAACCAGAGTTGGTTTATAATCTTGATGTTAGGGAAAGTTCATTTAATATGACAAGGGGGGGGGATGAAGATATTGAGGGGGGGGGCGCCGAAAATTTTTAGACACCCGAAGGGGCTCTGAAAAAAAATTGTTGCGCTAGGAGGGGGTCTCCGAAAATTTGTATACTTCAAAACCAACACATGACATCATCATACAGATCGGATGGTTTTCAACTCAACAATTTAATGACCTGTGCAACTCAGCTATATCACGTGGTTTACAGATATAACAAATGTAGTCTCAGTAATTATTACACTCTTGTTCATTCCAAAAATGCTTTAGAAAATTGTATCACAACTGTATCTCAAGTTTGTCATAATATAAACCATTGAAGACAGTAACTGTAAATATATTTAATACAGTCTGGCGATCTTTTTTCAGGGGAGCAAAGGAATTGAAGGAGGAGGGGGGGGGGGCTCTGAAATTTTTTCGACTACCAAGGAGGGGGCTCCTAAAAAATTGAACCGCTGGCGAGGGGGGCTGCTAAAATTTCAAGCTTCGAGTTTCAATATCTTCATCCCCCCCCTTGTCATATTAAATGAACTTTCCCTTAGTAGGTTCTCGCATGGAGTTTTGACTTGGATTGCATTTTGAAATATAAGCCGGCTATTACTTTTGCAGAAATGCACTAACCCTATTAAGAAAAAAGGGCTTGATCTAATGTAAACTCTACTGTAATATAGAAAAATTTTTATAGTTTACTGAACCGGATTTAACAATCAGAAAAGCTCCCAAGCACGACATACACGCCTGTTCGGAGTTGGTTTCCTTAAGCTTAACACAGTAAAACAACTATGAAGTTTGAAGAACAACTATTGCATGAACACAAAGAAGAGAATGACACGTACCTTTTGAACAAGTTTGTGGTCTAAACTCTATCAAAGATAAGGGTGAAAACATTTGTTAACAAAAGCTGGACTACTTCGTACAAAAAAGCAGCTTTTGTTTTCTTCAGATCTGCGTAGTTTGTTTGTTTGCGCGGGCGGAGAGAGTTTGCAGCCGCGACAATTTCGCGCCAAAAACAGGGTGTCTTGCTTGGGTTCAGTCTTCCATCGTCCAATTGTTGAGTCATTGTTTTGCGTCGCTGTCATTACATGGTATATTGATCGATCAAGGAGAAAATGATCCACTCAAGATAAGACAAAAAAAAATCACTTCCAAAAAGTACATATTCTAGAACATTTTCAAAAATAATTATAAAACAGCAATTACAATGATTACCCGCCCGTGTTCGGTATTGTCGTATAAATATCTATAAAACAGTATTCAAATACAGCTTTTTAATTTCCTTTCTCAATATCAGTTTCGACATAAGTGTTTGTAGACGTAATTCATTGCATATTTGCTCTCACCTTTCAGCACCATTCAAGAGTGTTGTAAAAGTGTAGCGGTCGTATTTGACTTCATTTTTGACTAGTATCAAAGGTATCGTCACAGCCACTACACTTTTGACTTCATCTTTGACGTGCGTCAAAGGTAAAGTCAAAGTTACCAGCATATTTGACAACGACTTTGATAAGGGTTAAAGGAATAGCAAAGCATTGATTCATTTGACTTCATCTTTGACGCGCGTCAAAGGAGAACTCAAAGTTGTTAACAATTTGACTTCACCTTTACCGAGGTCAAAGGAGTAAGCAAAGAGCTTATATATTTGGCGACATCTTTGACGTGCGTCAAAGGTGAAGTCAAAGCCAATACCATATTTGACTTAACTTTTGACTCGTGTCAAAAGTGCAGTAAATCCAATTTTTCGTCCCGTGCGCGCGCGCGCGGGAACAAGTTATCAAATGTAAGAAGTTTTATCATTTTGCTATTGGGAGAGGGCTTAACCTCCTTCAGTATAGAGTGTTTTCACATGACGTCACGGCGGCCATATTGGTGTCCCAAAACAATGAAACGGTGGCCATGTTGGTGTCCCAAGTAAATCCTGTAGGAGTTGAACTCTTTTCCTATGAATGTGTGACGAACGAACCCCAAAGCCAGCACTTAGATCTCGTGAATCCAGATAAGCGACAAATGTACCTATTGGTTTGCGGGTCTTTAATTTCGCGATTGTTTAAAAATCGCGAAATTGAAGACCCACGAATCATGAAAAATCCTCGCGAAATTTAATACTCATATAGAAAATTCAAATCACAGAAAAATAAATTTTAATATGTAATAGCAACAACATCATGACAGGATATACATCGACTAATACACAAATTAATATTGTTTCTACTAAGTTCCTTTTGTATCTTCAGTTGTGAGATTTCACACATTCCTCGTTCCAATTTATCTTACGAAATTTAATTTTGAAAGGTAAAATAAAGTTGAGAACGCTTAAATCGCGAAATCTAATGCCTTTTTTTTATATTTGCCTATTGCAATCGCGGAAATAAAACCCCGCGAAATACTGTCTCGCAAAAATCGCGAAATCTAACCGATTTTTTGAAAACGAACTTTGCAGCCATTTGAGTGAAAAAGAGACAAAAGTCAGGTTTTTTGCACCCGACAATCTCGAAAATCAAACCAGCGAAGGAAAAGGAAAAGAGAAAAAGAAAGAGCGAGGAGGAGGAAGGGAGGAGAAGAGAAAAAAAAAAGATCGGTGGCCACTTGGGAGATGGAGGAGTTTTTGGCCAAAAAATAAGCTGTTTGACGGAAGAGGTCGATTTGGCAGTAACGTTTTCAAAAATCCGGCTAGAGATAAAGAGAAATTTGTAATAACAAGCAACAAGTAAAGGGCTCTATTTATTAACTTCTATATCGTTTGTTTTATATTCCGTGTACGAAGCTAGAAGCATTAAGAGTCTTTTATGGTCAATATAACTATTTGATCACATAAAAAGAACAAAATGTGTACTATATGTATAACCGAAGTAAATGGACGTAGCGAACGACACTTTTCAAGAGCTATAATTGAAAAACAGTTTGCTTCAATTCATTTTTACTTAATTTTGCTAGTTCATAGAATAACATGACTGCACAAAATCCAAACCCGGTGTAGAAAGGTCGAGGATAAGATGACAAAACCACCCACTGCCAACAAAGTGCTTATAACTTTTTGTAGACCAGCATTCGACAGGTTTTATAGCCACGCCCTTTAGGAGCTTTGTCGCCATAGTACTCAGCTTCCTTATTGGAGACCAGCGTCCATTTTCCCTCCTTCTCCAGACTCTCACATTTCTCCTTGTAACCGCTTTCCTCTTTGTCAAACACTGGACAAGTGAAGCACATGATACCACCTGAAAGTAACAAATTCAAGCAGTAAATCCTTAGGCCATGTCTAAACGCTGTACCGTGCTATTCCGACTGTAAATAGCTACGACACAGCAGTGGAACACACATCAAACATCGTGCGAGAGCGGTTGGCCGAGAGGGTTTCGTGAGCTACATTACAGTGTTCAATCCGAATACTTACTTCCGTATTCCAGTCCCCTCTCCTATTTATTCGCTTCCGCTACGATCCGAATTGACCACTCCAGAAAATACCATGACATACCATAATGCTCTTTGTTTGTCACCCCAAAATTTTGAATATGCAATGTCTTCAGTTTCCCCTGGGGCCACAAACAAAGAGCATTATGGTATGTTATGGTATTTTCTGGGGTGTTCAATACCTGTTTGCACCCAAGTGGCGGGGTTTTGAATAGTACGGATACCTTAAAATCAGGTTGGACACCTTATGTTTATTACACAACTTTACATAAAATGTGTGTTACGTCTCTCCTGTGTGGTCCACAGGCCAATTTATGGCCGTTTTATGAGCTGTACTTTAAACGGTTTTCTCTCTGTAGATAGATAGGTTTTTTTTGCCATACAAAACCTTATATTTCCAGTGTTACGCAACAATGCTGATGTTCGCTGATGCTCATATTTCGAGCTTGGGCTACCTGTGGTCACAGCCCACCAAAGTGTGGCACAGAACGTATGCGATATGTGACGCTCTACTATCGAGAACAACGCGGCGCTGCTCGGCGCTCAATTCTTGGAGAACAGAAGCCCTACCCGGTATTGCTTTCGTGCAGGCGAAACAACTCAGAGGATCCGGCATAGAGTGAAAGTAACCTCACTGACTCTTATACTAATTTATGATTATTCCATCTACCGCCCCAAGTTTTTAGTCAGTTAGCTGAAAGCCCCGTATCCTCATAACCGGGAAATACAGGGCATTAGTCAGGAATATTAACGATTTTACCACGGTATGCGGGGCTCCCCTTACACTTCATCTTGATTTGCAGGGCTTTCAATTCTAAAAGTTAAATTTTTAACAAAATTTCCAAGAAATAAGCCTACATTTTATGTGTATTAATGTTTAGACGTTGAGTGGCATGGGATTTAAGATCTGTAGAAGTCACTGAAATGAAGAAATAGCAAAAAAAAAAAACGCAAAGTCATTTGCTTGTTATATTTTTCCAAAAAGGTCATCTCACTTTTACCTCTAGATTTCTTGAAACAAAACTTACACAAGAAGTCAAAGTAGTGACAAATTACCTGGCTTAATCCAGCGAGTGATTTCATCTAAAGCATTGGCTCTCACTTGACCAGTTTGGAACACTCCAGAGGAGATAACGGCGTCATATTCACCATCTTGTATCTCTTTTATTCTGTCGGTACCTACGAAGGCACTGATAAGAGTCTTGTAGATGTTCCTCTGTCTAGCGATATTTAACATATCTTCAGACACATCCAGCCCAGTCAGGTTATCATATCCATATTTGTCCTTCAGAACTTGACCAGACAGTCCTGACCCACAGCCAAAATCCATTATTTTGAGGTCTTTCTTGCTTTCGCCATAGTGGTCTTTAGCTGCATTGAAGAAGGCTTCTCCACATGATAAATGGGAGTAACAACCCGGTGTGCCAGGGCCGGAGCCTTCAAGAACCCACTAAAAAGAAAAAATGAATAAACATGGAAGGCCTTTTAACCGACCAGGCAGAATGTGCTTGTCAAGCGTTTTTCATTCTGCATTAACTTCTGAATGTGCGTGAAATCCTGTGACATAAATACCAATCAGCCTCGATTCTTGAATCTTATAAAATATATTCCTACCAAAAAAGAGGTTGTAGTTTAGCCTTAGCCACCTCAGTCTCCTCGTCCTACCCCTAAGGCGGACAAAGCTCTTTACTGACCAGGCTGAATGTGCTTGTTAAGTGACTTTTAATTCTAGACTATCTGGGTGAAACCCTATGACACAAACACTCAATTAATAGACTGCATAACAAGCCATCTCTCCCCGTCCTCGCCAATAAAGACGTTTTGCGTTCCTACCCCTAAATCAGACAATGTTTTCCCCACCCTTTGGACCCAGGGTCAGCTAATCAGGACAGAATATCGCAGGGAAGTATTATTGCAACCAAAGCTCACGAGGGAAACGAGAGTGATCCTGGCAAATTAAGCAGAGACTCTCGGAGAATGCTCTAGTGTTTGTTTTTTTGGATAGAGAAGTAATCCCAGGGACTTCCCGCTGCGTGACGAGACAAAACCGGCTGCGAGGGAGACTACCAGACTACGACGATATTACGTTTGCATTTTTAAAAAAAGACCAATTGATCAAAATTAACTTAACAGACCAAATTTTAACTGGGTGGCGAGGTTTTTTGTTGTCACCTACATACAATTTTACCAAAAGATTTTTTTGCCTTCGAAATATTCGATTTGTTTGAAATTGTTGCACTACCCGAGCTCCCCTTAAATTAATTTGCCCCATCGAATAGCACTGGCCTGAAAATTTGCTTTGTCACTAACTTAGATATGCTCCTGAATTTATTCCTGGAAATTATTTCGCTCTAGCTTGAAATTTTCCTTTCACTTGGTGAGAGTCACATGGCAGTTGCATTAAACTGCCTATTCAAGCACTTTTGGAATTAGTAACTGCCCTAGGGCTTGCGTTTTCTTCGTGTGAACCCTACATTACACGTATTTTGGCTTAAAAGGTTTCCATCTCGATCACTGCCCTGCTAAGATGGAGTTTTCATAGTAACAAACCACACCTGCCACATGTAACAAGTGTCAGCCGGACCAAAACATAGCCTAAGGAAACAGCAACCATTTCGCGAACCCCCCCGGGTTCGCGACCCCACCACTGGTTTCCCTACGAAATGACGTCTGTGGCATAATCGCAGAAATTTCACACTCACTGGTGATGTTGTCAGAGCTAAGGTACTGCTTCTGATTAGTCTTGCTGGGAGGGAAATTTGCTTCAACCAATCAGAAGCACTACTCAGATCTGCCGGGTAGTGACTCGTCATCAGTACTGCATTTCTGCAGTCGTTCCTCCGAGGTCATTTTGCAGGAAAACTAGAGGTGGCCTCGCGAAATTTCGGCTGTTTTCTACCAAAACATTTTGGCAATTCAAAACATACCCTATCATAATGGCCAGCCCATACTTTGTAAACCTCTTGGATTTTCTCTTTGGAAGTAGTATTCCAATTGAGATCAAGCATTTCCTGAGGATAGTAGACTGCATCTCCCTCTTGTGCCATGTCTCCTACAGCCACAAAGAAAGCAAAATGATTATTTGCAACACCGTTTAGAAGACCAAGGCACGAAACTAAAAAACTTCGTGTAAATATGCTAAGATAAACCCTTGAATAAAGCCCCTATCCCCACCATCGGCCATCACTTCGGGAATAACCCTGAGTTATAAGAGGAGGTCAAATTTAAATTCAGGTAAAAATTTTTTAACCTAGATTCATTCTCAATTTCCTTTGTCTCCTATCCCCTTGAATGTTCATGAATTAGGGTTAGCAGGCAAAGGAAATTGAGAATCAACTCAAGATATTCACTAACTGTAGCCCAAGTTAGTCAGTTGCTTTCAAGCCTTTGTGGAGAGCACATTTCAGAAGCTAGATCTCTTTAGTTCTAGCAAGTCAACCTTCAGCACCTTGTTGCTTTCATCTTTTGTTTTCTTTGTTTCGTAATAAATTGTTTGAATCAATTTGCTGTTTGTCTCATAACCGTGTTGTATACGTTGAATTACCAGTTACCTGTGGTATGCTGTCGTCCTTTGGCTTCAAAAGCGGTTTTTTGAGCAATTTTGAAGGAGTGTGAGTTCGCCGTTTACTGTTCCTTCCAAACGGCGAACTCAAAATTTTTCAAAATAGCTCAAAAACCGCTTTTGAGGCCAAAGGACGACAATCTACCACAGGTAAGGTAATTCAACGTTTAGTTAACATTGTTTTATATATACTTAAGGATATATCACTACGGTTGAGCCAAAAAGTAAATCCAGTACATTTACTATAAAATAACATCGGTTACACACAGAGATTGTGTGCTGGCAGGATTTTTCGTTTTGCTGGGCAGGTTTGTCGTTTAGAGAAAGAAAGAATTTTACGCGGTTATGTTATTAAAAACATCTAATCGTACACATGTATTGTATTTACAGATTTTCAACATACAAAATTATATCCTTTTCAAAGTCACGGCCTCGGGGTCAGTATTCTCAAGATACAGTCAAACCTCGCGTAAACCACCACACAAAATACGAAGATTTTTTGGTCGCTTAAACGAGAATCGAACCTCAGAGGGTCTTACTAGAAAAGGACCAAACACAGTTACATTTTGAGTTTCTAGCTGTTACGATATGACAAAAGCGTGTAGCGCGCGAGAAGCGTTTCTCTGGCGCCTGACCTGAAACTCCCTTTCTCTTCCCTTTCAAACGCCTGCCAAGCAGGCTACGATATGTGTAGTTTCATGTTTAACTAAAACTTCATCGTGTTCTCTTAGTAATGTATACGAGCATAGAGATCACTGAGACCATGCCAAAAGCCGTGGTCGCTAACAAGAGGTTAAAAACAATGGAAAATTCTAAGGCCGTCTTCCAAAAAGTGGTCGCGTTCGTTATTCGAGGCTGCAACTGTAGTGATTAACACATAGAGGTTACTTCGACTATGTTCTTAAAATTTGTCAAATTTCAGCCTCGATTCTTATATCTTATAAAATATATTCTTACCAAAAAAGAGGATGAAGTTCAATTAGCCTTTTTTGTTATAACAGAACCACCTTAAACAGCAGAAAATAGTGAAAAGAAGAGGCGTTTACCTGTAGTCAAGTTTGATCCCTGCGAAGTGCTGTTACGAAGTGGTACAGCTTTTGAATGAGGTTAAAAAAATCGTTGCACTCTTATAACTCATCTTTTTAAATGCAAGTAATTTTACTGATTGTCAGTAACGACGATTTTTTGGGGATGTTCATTGCTGTAATTTCACTATCACGAGTGATCTGACTTTTGAACCTTCTCCAAACTCTCCCTCTCTCATTGGTTAGTTTACAGGACACTATTCTAAAAAGGATTTTCACGAGAAATAATATACAGTGAAACCTCTATTAAGTGGACACCTACGGGACCTTCCCAAGTGTCCGCTTAATAGAGGGTGTCCGCTTAATAGAGGTTGTAAAAAATTGCGCAATGTTTTTTAACGATCAACATTGAACGGTTACTCTGTACTGTGATAAAGTTGCATGTTGTTGAAGAACCTATCCAGAGTTCAAGTTCATTACCTTTGATTACCAACTTTTATTTGTTTGTAAATGCAAAAACATTAACTGACTTCAGAACGTATTTCAAGGAAGTAATCCAATACTACTATCCTGTAAGCGACCACGGCTTAAGGCATAGTCTTAGTGATCTGTACAGTCTCCGAAATGATCGACCCGGAAATGATTCCCATTTCTATTCGCATCGTCCCCGAAATGATCCCCAATTAATTTTAGGAATGGAATGATATCCTAGAACTATGGATCGAGCAAAATGCACAACATTAATTAAAGTTTCACTAATAATCTTCACTTGCCCGCATTTTTTAATGACATTAATTTGGGATCACCCTTTGAACTGGAATAAACGAAAATATTATTTTAATACACAAAGTTTAGCATATCTTAAGTAACACCATCAACCGCAACTGATAATATCAAGAAACATAACATTTTCTATTATTAACAATTTTATTAACCCCTGTTCAGCTTACACCTCTACTAAGCGGACGCGGACACTAAAATAAATTGTTTTTGGCTAATTTCTATTGTTAAAAATCTCTATTAAGCGGAAACCAGACTAAATTCACGATCGGCAGTATTGGATTACGTACTTTACATACCTACTGTGGTCTATTAATAAGGATAATTCAAAACATTAAGCAATAGCTGTCAATAAACTGTAGATTAATTGTTATTCGCGATCAAAGTTCACCCAAAAGTCTTGCACAAAGTACAACACAGCTTCCTTCGCTTCCTTAACAACATGGAACTTTATCACTGTCCAGAGTAACTGTTGACTGTTAATCGTTAACAAACATAGTGTAATTTTTACAAACCTCATTAAGACCTATTAAGAGGTATAGCATACAACAAAGGTATAGCACACGTTCATGTCAATGTATGTACTATCTTTATTTACAAACGAAACGTACGATCTGTAAATTGAAAGATTAGTCAACAACCTAGCTGCATAACAGGCGCTTTATAAGCCAAGCGAGGCGAACGCTACATTTTGAGCGAAGCGCGAGAGACGAGGGAAGGATAGCCTGCGTGGCAGGCGTTAAAAGCGGAAGGAGAAGGGCGAATTTGGGCGCGCCCCACGCGCTCTAGCCCGCCCCAATTCCCCCTTCCCCTTCCCCTTTTAACGTCTGCCACGAAGGCTAATTCCCTCCTCCCTCGCGCGCGGTCTCGCGCCCAAATTTCCTTTCCCTTCCAGCTTTTCTGGCTACCAGAAACACCAACAGCAGCATAAACCACGGGAAATAACAACTACAAGGGCATGAATCACCTTCAATAACAAAAGACTCAGTGCGGCAAAAGAGGTTTGGTTAGTCAAAGCTAAGTTTAGTCCAAACACAGCGGCGAGAAAGAAAAGAGGGAAAACCTGTTGTTGAAATAAATTCCAAGGTCGCGTTTCACATTATCACGAGCTTGGCCTGTCAACACTTAATTTCAAAAAGTTAGTAAATCATGCTTTTTCCAAACCTACTTGAAAGCGATCCATAGACATTTCCTCCAACCCAGTTCCCAGGGCTTTTCCCTTAAAAAATGGGTGGCCCCACCCATTTTTTAAGGAAAAAGCCCTGGGGACGAGGTTGCATTTTCTCTTAGGCAATTAATTTAAACATTTTTTTTTTGTTCTTGTTTTCCTTTATTTCTGGAACATTTGGAAACATACGTTAAATTCCGACCCTTTATAACCTTTTGGAAAAAATAGGCGGCGCAACGCTGTGTTAATCTTAAGATCACTATACCGGATGAAATACCGGATAGCTTTTGCGCCGCCACGAAAATTATACCGGATAGGGCTTCTGTTCACGACCAAGAAGGTTTGTGGCGGCGCAATTTCTGTGACGAAACGAAACTGCACCGTGGCGATGTCGAAAGTGGAGAGTCACATAACGGATAAGTTTTGTGCCATACTTTGATGCAGTGTGAGCACAACGGGAACGTCAGTTGACGACGGCGCGCGCAAATTAAACAACTGGCTTGACCAATGGCAGAGAGGCAAATTGGGCACCGGAAGTCGTGTTTAGTACTTTCCGTGCGCTTTCCCGTCGTCAACTGACGTTCCCGTCCTGTTGTTAAATCAGCCTAATAAGTAGGAGTGAGGCCTGGAACCCACTAAGCCGGAAGTAAACATTCAAGTTGCGGACTGGAATTTAGTCAGCACCAAACCTTTTCGGTCACCCGCGACAGCACGATGTCCTATCAAGGCCGATGTGTGTAAACGACTTGTGCCGTCCCGGGTCGTTGCTGTTCATACTTTGTATACTGGATAGCTTTTCGTGGCGCCACGAAAAGCTATCCGGTATAGCGTGAATATAGCCTTAGCCCATGACCAAGCTCTCTGTTTGGGGCAGTTGCGAGAAAACACGCGAGAGCAGCACGCGAAAGGAGACGCAATAAGTGCAAGGGGAGTTACCATGACATCGAAACGACTTTCGATTTTATCTGCGTTACGATTTTTTCCTTTTTTTGTGTACTTTCGAAACCTTTGCTCATAACGAAAATAATCTTGTATCTTGATGTCAAGAATTTTAATCAGAAAAACAAAAAGAAAAGTAAGTAGAGAAGTGAAAAGAGCAAGGGGAATATGTAACGTTGGTTTTCCTGAAATCGTAGTTATGTAGGTAAGTAATGTAGGCCGAAGACTATCGATTGCTCCTTTCGTTTGCCCGTAATCGGTTAGTCCTCACCATTGAACACTGAACACTTAATCTTTTGGCTCTGTAACATGAAACAGTTTAAGTTTAGGCGTTAAGTTTTAACACTAGCAGTAACAAAACTCACCGTAACAGTAAATTTTTATCCAAACAGAAGCAAAAACGGCTCCAAAAAGACCAGTATTATTTTGTTTAGTATACCAAAGAGATTTTGGCCATTCTCCGACGATTTCCGATTATTTCAGAAGATTCCCGAAGACTACCGAGGATTCCCGAAAACTGGCGAAGATTTCCGAAGATGTTCGAAGACTGCCGACGATTGCCAACGAAAAATCCGCAAATTTTCGACTTTATTTTTGTCGTTAATTTCACATGTAAAAGAAGTGTTCTTATAGTGTCCAGATACTATTCTTTCTAAAAATTATGGCTAAATATTAATTTCACTATAAAAATCATACAGCAAGTACCTACCTGGCGAACGAACTGAAGAGAATCATTGTAATTAATGATTCTTTTGTATGCAAAACAATATAACAATAATTAAAAGTAAAAAGGTTAAAAAGGAGGTCCCGAATTATCATAGTCGCCAATTAGCGATGATCTGGTCTCAATAAACTTTCGCTTCGGCTCCTCGATCGTATCTCGCGGTTAGTAGTGTTGAGCGCGCGCGTCACCAGCGAATAATTGAAGAAATTTCCTCAGAGATTTGCAAACAGAGAAATTCAAAGATGGATAGCGTTAAGTGTTTCTTTTGTAATCTGCTTTTTAGTCGCTTTGTTTTTTCCCTGCATTCATTTGGTGGTAGTGAAAGTATTGGAATGGACGGCAAACAGGATCTGTGCTTGCGGTCGGTGGGTATTTGTGCTTTTCAAAACTAAAACTGCGACCAAGCAGCGGACAAAGCAGGCAGTTAACGTTACCATCCAAGGCAATGACACCGAGCCCGTTACGTATAAAAGCACTGCAGTTGCCGAGTCAAGACAACAAGCCTGTTGAAGAACAAAAAACCTTTCAACGAAAAGGAGATTTCAACGAAAGCTGTTTCAACTGTTTCAGCTGTTTCAACTGTTCATTAATTATCACAAATTTTACAGAAAGCAATATCCACTGCCCGCAGTTAGCAGGTTAGCTAGTCGAGGCGAGCAGTGGTTACACGTATGTAATACATATACAGATAGATCACAAGAAAGACTAGAGAAAAAGAGTAGTTAAATAAATAAACAAATAAATAAAAATAAATTCAATTTAATTAAGTTTACAATCATGGACATTGCAAATATAAGAAGCCGAGTTTTCAGGAAATTTTTGTTATTAAGTCGGGTAAATCAATATAATCATTTTCTTCTGAAAGTATTCGGAGTAAAGTGTCGTGGACATTGATTTTAAAGTTATTTTTGGACATTTGACGCATTTCACACGGTAAACTATTCCAGATTTTTACACCATATCTTGAAAAAGACTTAGTTTGTTTGTCTAACCTTGAGTGTTTAACATAATAGTCACCTCTTGAAGATGATCTTGTATTGTATGAATGAATATTAGATTGGGAAGCAAATAAGTTAGATATGTTAGTAGGTGTTAAGCTGTTAGATATATCATGCATTAGAATAGCAACGGATTTAAAGTACAGTAGATCTAAGGGAAGAAAGCTAGAGGAGACAAAATAAGGTACTGCATTAGAATTGTAGTCACCAAAGAACATGAGGCGGAGGGCGCGTTTTTGAAGAATAAGAATTTTGTTTTTGTAAGTTTTAGCAGCTTGGCCCCAAGCGACTATGCCATACAATAAGTAGGGCTGAATAAGAGATATGTATATGTGGTGTAAAGTATTCAGGGGTACAAAGTGTCTAAGGCTGGCAATGATGCCAATTGTTTTACTTATTTTTGAAGCGATGTGAGCGATATGGTATTTCCAAGAAAGATTTTCATCAATAAGCACACCTAGATATTTGACATAATTTTTGCATTCTAAAGAAATGAACGAGTTGTTATGATGGTCAAACACTTTCAAGTTGACTTGGTGATTTAACTTTTTTTGTCTTGGTCTAAAAA